ATCAGAATGCCGCGTTCGTGGGCGAACGCGGAAAGTACAAAATACCGGGCCTTGCTTGCAGGCCCACTATCAAGTTCCCTTCAGCCTGCTCCCTTGGGCCTGCACGCGGGCTATCATAAACTCTCACAGTATATTATAAAATGTTGTAAATCTGGGCTATATAACTGACCTGGACCACGATACTTCTTGTAGGTGCGCCACCGATAGAATCTTGAATCGTGCCAGCCACACCGTAATTGATCAAGGCGTCCGACCATGCTCGAAGACCACAATCTGATTAAGAAAATAATTTAACTTGATGCATGCCATATATTCCAAGTTTAATTGAAGATGCAGCTGTACTAATAAGCAGCTAAGTTTGTTTACACAGGATAGTTAGTCAGTCTTAGCATGAAAGCAGGCTTTCCTTTGGTTAGGAAGTTAAGCTGTGGTCAAACAATGAGAGTTGCATGACAGTTTTCTCAACTTGTAAAGTTAATAAAAAAAAACTAAAGTAAATTATTAAATTACCATATTTCCCAACAATGGATAACACTGTAATTCCACGATCCTTCAACAATTGGGCGGCAGCAACACATTCCTTTGTATTCCCGCTGTGTGACAGAAACACGGCAACATCTCCATTACGAGCTCGACCCAGGTCTCCATGTGTCCACTCGGCTGCATGAACGTAATGTGATGGTGTACCGGTTGAGGCAAGCGATGCTGAAAGACGCTCGGCAACAATACCTGATTTACCTGGGAGTGGAATGATAATTATGATCTGTCTATTTCAAAACTTTCAAGAAGAGAACTCCTACAGGTGTATGTACCACAGAATACTGCAAATTTTACATGTTCCATATCTTTTGTCTAATGTATATAATATGGTTCCTTGATATTTTTTAGTATAGTCTATCGATATATTTTTTCTTCCTGGGGGTTTTGGGGTAAGATTTCATAGACTTAATTATTTTTTTTTTAATTAATATTCTGTGGAAAAAATTCCAATGTACCACAGAATACCAGTGCAGAGGTAAGTAAGCAACGGTTTATCAAATTGTACCAGGATTTGGTGTGTCATTTTGTATGATAATACTGTGGGATATTGCTAACTTAATTTAGTGAAAGTTAAACACTAACTTAAGTTAAACTTATTTTTAAACATTCTGATTTTACAGGCATTATATTTATACGAAAAAAAAGTACCAAAAATATAGAATGTTACTTCTTGTTAATCCTGATTGTTTTTAAGAATTTTTAAGAAAATATACATTTTTTGTTTTTATATGTCAATTAATGATTATAACTAATATATAATCACAAAAATAAAGTTTATAGCATATTTCCTTCAAATTTTATATAAGAAATAAATAAGACTGGTATTCTGTAGTGCCGTGGTATTCTGTGGTACATATACCTGTACTGATTCAGACAGTATTTCTGAGGAAATATTTCCAAATTTGTAAAGAAGGCTGCTGGGATGTTTGCTTTGAATTTTAGGTTAACCTTTTTTAGGGTCGAACAACTGGCCCCTGGTGACGCCTACCCATAATGCATACCTATGCCTGACGTCAAGACGACTCCAGAACAATGCTGTATTAACGTCACAAAGTTGGCTGTGTTCTTGGTATCCAGAGCATTTGCAATCCTCTTTGCGACATCAGCATCAGCAAGCAGACTACTTTGGAACTCAGAAATTGAAGGTTTCTCTGCCTGCACTAGCTTTTCCTTCACATTGGTCATGTCGAATGGCTTGCCCTGAGCTGGAATGATAATATAATAGGTATAGGTTTCACTACTGTAAGCACTGTCATACTGCAGATGCTGGTCAACTTGCAGTTATCAGAAAGGAAAAAAATGTAATCGTCTTGTGAAGAAAATATACAAGTAAATAAATCAAATAAAATAATGAAAAAGAAATGGTCTCCAGTGTGTCGACTGTTGAGAAATTAGCCAGCGGTACCTAAACCGGAAATGAAGTATGGAATGTTCTTCCAGGAATCAAGACGTGTGAGCATTTTGTGAGAGATTTGCTTTTGTGAATAAAACATTTTATTTTGTTGGGTTTATTTTAAGTGTGATTTATTGTGGCTGCGGGGGACATTCAACAACATTCCACACAAGTAACAATTGCTAAAACCTGTCAGTGGCTGCACTAAGGGAGGGGGCAGGGGGGGGGGTCACCTGACCCCAGTGTTTTTCAGAGTGTAGTTTTTCAGAGATTCATTCAAATTCGATAAAAAATTGGGGTGGAAAATTATCATCAGGACTGTTGCATATCTTGCGAGCATCTATATAAAACTGTATGACTCCCACTGAATTAAATTGTCAAGTATTCTGAAATCAATATTTGACACTGTAAAAAGGAGTTTTAATGCTAGCCCTCAAGAAAATATAACATTTATTCATTGTATTGTGTTTGGTTAATTTGGTGGCAAAAAGATAGAATTGTGAAATTCATGTGAGACACAATACTATTTAAAACACACAAACACAAATGAGGTCATAAAATATGTCTCTACCTTGGGCAGCATTTCTCAGCTCCATCTCTCTCTTTGAACTCATACTAAAAATGGATAATTATGATCAAGAAATGCAACTTTCCATAAACTAATTACTATAGCCATGGCTATAGAGCTTTGTTTCTGTGATTGAGACATTGGCTTTAGAGCCTTTTATCTTGTTAGTGATGATACAAGCTAAAAAATTATTAATAATTCATGAGGAAATACAAAAGAAATTACTGCCACGTCGGTGGTTAAGTGGTTTTATATGTGATAAAAAATCATGTTCATTTCCATAAACTTTAGCATTGATTTTCTCGGCTTACAACGTTCAGTTTTAAAATTTCTTCACCAATGAACTCATCAGATGGGTTGTTTTTTAAGCCATTTAGAACACTCGCAAGCTGTGCTTTATTAGATATAAAACACTCGAGCTGCGCTCTCACGCTTTATATCTGATAAAACACTCCCGCTCATGTTTTAAATAGTACATGAACAGGTTTTATTATTATATTATATTCACTGATATGACCGTCAATATGTCACCTGTGCCAAGATAAAAGGCTCTGAAGCTCTGAACATTAATATCTCAATCACAAAAACCAAGGATCTATGTAGCCAAAACTGAGCACTTTCCAGAAGGGTGAATTGCAGCCACTTTTGAGAGTTACTTGTTGTACTCTTTTTGTGCAAGTCCTTTAATTGGGATGGGCCAGATTTGGATACCAGTATCTGGCAAAATATAGACTTCCAGCACCATCTGGTTTTATTTGAGAGGTTCAGATTTGATTTCCACTATCTCTCACTGCCTTAGCACACATGTGATTGGTTAATCGGATATATCTTTTTTTATTTATTGGTTTACGGATTTGACTTTAAAAATAAGAGGTCGGTAGGTCGGAAATTTTTTTTAAAAAAAACGACCTGAGTATAACTGAGAACCGAAATTAATAATCTTTATAAAACTTTTTAACATCAATTTAAAAAAAAACAGCAAAAAACGTGGCCAATCTACATATTGATTGTCACAACGATAACATGAGCCAGCAGTACCTAGAGTCAAAGTTCACTTGAAGTGTACTTCATGTCAGAACCCCAAATTAATTAAAATCAACTAAAATTGTAAAATTTTTGACATCCAAATTTTTTTTTTATTTTTCACTTTCTGAATATTTACGGTCGGTGGATCCGTAAACCAATGAATAAAAAAAGTCTCGCCTCAGAGTAACATCACAAGCATAATGTAATATTTTATGACAAAGCTAGACTGCAAGTAGTCCCTCGGGAGAAAGGAGGGACTGCCGACAACACATCAAGAAACGAAATATGCCCAAGTGGGCTCCACCTTTGCATCAACATTACTTATATCCAATTAAATCTATCCAATAGGAACCGCTAATGTCATGTTTATTTATAAAATCAACATTCAGTCTGGAAATTATTTATAGCTAATAGCATAATTACTACATATCAGATTTGATTGACAGGCATATCGATTTCGACCAATGGGAATTTTGTGTTGTGTGGGCAAGGCGTATTTCGTTTCTTGATGTGTTGTCGGCAGTCCCTCCCCCTCCTTTCCTTTTGCATGCCCGGAAATCTAAACCAGCGGATCACTCGCAGTCTAGGCAAAGCAGCTCCCGGCGCATCTCTAGATCCTTTCGGTAACCCAATTTGGTTTCTGCTGCAAGTAATTTTGGACAGCCTGTTGTGAACATATGTGTGTATGAAGAACGTAGTCATGGAAACCCCATTGACTAACCACAGATATTAAATTACTAACTAAATACCTATGTGGTTAACTGGTAGTTTAGATCAGAGTTAAAAGTGTTAGAAATTAAATTATTTTCATTGTACGTAGTGCTCTTGTATAGTTCGTTACAGACATCCCATAAATTTGCCTGCCGGATGCGTAGACATGTAATAATGTATTTTGAATCAAGCGTGTTAAAAATTGGCAAACATATGCACATTTCGGACGCAAAATCAAAACAATGTTTACTCGTCTATGTATGACTAGGTGTGTTAAATATTTGACTAAAATATACAAAGTTTTAATAAAACTATACTTCTGTCGAACATATTTAAATGATCACGTAACATTGCATTTCTGTAGTTATTTTGCCTACTACTGGGCAACGACACTCGCTGAATAAGTTTATATCGTTTGCTAAGGTTCGCAAGGAAATCAAATTAATTAAACATCGTTATACCTAAAAACTATCGAAAAATGCTCGAAATTTTTTAACAACCACGCTAAAAGACCTAAAATAATAACAAAACTTGATAATTTTACTTTTTATTATCAGTTTAACTTACGTGCTTGTGTAAACGGTTAATAGAACTAGACGCCCATCTTAATTATTTTTCTCACGAAATAGTGCTGTTTTTAAACATTTAAACCGCCTCGATTTCTAGTAAATCGCGTTCTATTTTTCCAGCAAAACTGTAGTTCATGAACTGGACTTTCCCGGCTCAAAAATAAAAGGAATTTTTTGAAGAACGAACCGCACCACATAGATAGCGCTTGACAAAATTAAACGCATATTTAAAGTAGAAAATTAAGCACCCAAAAAGCTGATCTACACTAGATATATTTCTACTGTGATTTAAGAAAGTATATATAAGATGGAAATGTGCTCACCTTTCCATATTTTTGGTTTTAAAACAAAAATAAACGTTTTCAAATTCAGCTTATGTCAACACAGCCAAGGCACGCCAAGGGAACAAACCACTAGAACAAACCCGTGTAATCTTGCATAAATTATGCATGGGGACGTGGCACACTATTTATAGGCCTGATCGCAGGTTAACTATTAATTAGCAAAGCCAATACTTGATATTCCAAATAAAAAACAGTTTTAAATTAAAGTCTGGGAGACTTGATCTGAAGTCGCTTTCGAATTGGCTTCATTATTGATATGTCTGTTATGTGAGATCAGTTTCTTTTTCAATTGGGTCCATTTATGAGATCAGATCGAGCCGGCTAGGCTAGGTGGTCGACCAAGACGACCATAAATTTCCCCAAGGAAGCCCAAGGCATTTTCCCCAATCTTCGTATCAGAAACATTGTGTTAGCCACAAAAACACATGTACACTGAGCTTCTGCGCTGGCAACTCTCATGGAATATTTTATGCAATGGGAACTCTTAAAGTGTAAATCCAAAATTTTAAAAAGTAGGTGCTAGTTCTGGGTGGCAGAATACAAACTGCAAACATTAGTCCATGGTACAATTACCTGTTCAAAACTTCATATCTTCAGGCAATTGTATCATCTACAAACGTTTGCAGTTTTATATGCAATGTCTTCTGTCATTAAGACTTTAATAGGCAGATTATTGTTTACACTTGCAAGAAGTTACCATAGGTGTACCAGACATGGGGGGGCAACTCTTCCCCTCAAAAATCACTTTGGAAAAGCATGAAAGTTCAGGCAAATGCTAGGAAAAATCAAGAAAATTTGGGCAGATTTATCGGAAAATATATTAACCCTTTAAGTAGTGGCAATGGGCCCAAATGCACCCTGGTTTTTTATTTTACTCTAACGCCAGACTATTTTACTCATCAGGGGGAGAGTGCTGCCACTCGATTTTAAATTCAGGCTATTTCATCACAATCCCCCCCCCCAAATTTGGACAAACTTTCAACTGCCCCCCCCCCAGAAAGCATGAGCCCTGTACACCTACAGAAGTTTCTGCTTCTTGCCAATGGTGGATTACAGTGAGTGTTACAACTTTGGTAACTATCAGTTGATCACCATCTAAAAATAAAAGTGATCACATCTACTGTAATATACACAAAACATCTTCATTGAATATCAAGTTTAATACCACCAACTTAAAACAATAGTAAGATAGCAATATTATTATTTTTCAGTTCAGGCAGCCACTCTTTTCTTCCAAGCTGCCAAAGGGCCGTGGTTAGGAATGTATTGGGCATGAACACCATAGGGAAGGATCGAGCCATCAGCTCTTCCTTTCTCATAATCTGCCTTGCTGAACTTTGTGAAACCCCACTTTTTTGAGATGAAGATCTAAAACAAAAACACAATTCAGGGCTTAACATACAGCCGGCAGTCTGCTGTTACCGGCATTTTTGCTAGCTGGTGACTTCTAAATTAGCAACAAGTTTTTCTTCTTAATCCATTGATCTATACAATGGACTTATAACTTTAAATTAGAAAGATGCTGTATTGACATAAAAAGATTGTGTTAACTAGTTTAAATTAAGCATTCTGGAGGAACAGAAGTCATTAATATTTGGTTAGCACTATTTTCCATCCAGCAAACTGACCTGACGTCATTTTCGGAAGATGTGTTAAATGGCTATGTAACTAACCCAAACCCTACCCCTACTCTAACCCTAACCGAATTTATAATTACAACAAAATAAAAAAAAAAACTTTAGAAAATCGATAGGGCGGTTTGCCGGATGGAAAATAGTGCTAACCTTAATATTTTTAGTGCCTGCAAGCAAAATTTATAACTTCAAAATACGTCTGTAAAATGCATCATATTTAGGTTTTGGGAGCTAAGTGTTATTAGAATGCCAATTTAATTCAAAAGGAGCCCATGCACTTGCATATTTTAATGCCCAAGATAGGGTGATGCGGTTATTCGGTTAACCGAGATGAATCGGTTATTTTTACAGATCGGTTTCACGAGTCTTCTAAATATCAGATAACCGACTAACCGAAAAACCGATTCAAAATATAAAATTCAAAATAAAAAGACAAACAAGCGTGCTACATGTGATCAACATAAAACTATAAGCAAGCTATGTTATACTCTTTGGTGATTACGCGATTTAAATCAATGCTAGAAGCCTAGAAAAGTGCTGCGACTCAAATGGCGGATTAAAAGCGGATCAAAACAAGCTTAAAGCTTCCGGTTTGATTAGCTAAGAGAAAGGCGGACGTCTGCAAAGACGTCACATGGATAACACACAAGACATGTTGTTTATTTTTGTCAAAATAATTTCATTGATTAAAAGAGTCGGTTATCTCGGTTATTTTGTGACGATTCTCGGTTTCGGTTATTTTACGAAACCACATCACCCTAGCCCAAGAGGGAAACTATAGTAACTTATAACAACAAACCTTTTGACGTCCAGGGAATTTCATCTTAGCACGCCTGAAAGCTTCAATACAAGCAGCTTGGTGTTGTGGCTTTGATCGAATGGACAGAATAGTTTGTCCGATATTCACTCGAGCAACAGTTCCAAGTGGCTTACCAAACGCACCACGCATACCAGTCTGGAGCCTATTTGGAAAAAAATATTGAAGAGTTGGGTGACAATCAGGGCTTAAAAATAAATCAGAAATGCTGTACGAGGTTGTACGCTCTGTACTAAATTGACTGTTAACATATGTAATCGATGTTCACATACGATTTTGTATACTAGTTTTCATATAAAATTTCCGCATAAAAATGCATTTGAAAATGAAATACTGGATTTAAACGATGTAAACAAAAATGGTGGTGTCATCTGAGAATCCATTATTCCACTTCTGGATACCCATAAATTTTGGCATCTCCGAGGCCCCGTTTACACTATACCGGATTGCATCAGAGCATAGCAATTTTCATACCGGATTCGGTTGCTGTTTAAACTACGCCACAGTAATCCGGTACGCAACGACAAAGAAAACATGTGTTACTTCTTGTTTTTAATAAATTTTAGTACCGGTATATTGGCAAAAAATTTACTGATTCCATGGTGACAGTGAAAGACATGAGCAGGCAACAGAGCGAAGCGGCATAGTGTAAACACCCTTGTTTTTTTACTTGTAAAAATTAATCCAGTACAAAAAGTAATCTGGTATAGTGTAAACGGGGCCTGAACCATCAAAGTCAGTACACACTACAGTACATGTCTCTCATTGTCATAATTACAAAAATCACATTTGGGTAAACATACACAACACCATTACCTATCAGCTCCAGCACACGACAACATTTTGTTGATGCGAAGTACGTGGAATGGATGAAGTCGAATCCTGATGTGGAACGAATCCTTGCCAACATTTTTCACCATGTATTTGTTTGCACAAATACGCGCAGCTTCTAACGCTTCTCCCGACAATTGTTCATACTCGTCCGAGACCATGTGAATGCAGAGAGGGAAATCGTCCACATTTGCTTTCTTACGACCCAAGTCATAGATTCTGATCTTCGGATCAGGGACACCACGGCAGAACCGAGATTTTGGATATGGCTTGTTTTTGCAGTACCGGTAACTGGACAATAAAAAGTAGGTACAGTTTAGTCAAAGGTACAATATAAGAAATAGCTTAAGGAAATCGACAGTTATTAACTTCAAAAATATATAATCAAACCACTTTAACCCATTGAGTGGCAACACTCTCCCCCTGATGAGTAAAATTGTCTGGCCTTAGACAGAGTAAAATTATAACAAAGTAGGGTGCATTGCCACTTAAAAGGTTAACAGGATGCATGGGGAGCAAATCTGATTAGCCCATTGATTTGCAGCACTCTCCCCCTGACGAGTAAAATTGTCTGGCCTTAGACAGAGTAAAATAACAAAGTAGGGTGCATCTGGGTGCATTGTCACTTAATTAAAGGGTTAATATGGACACCTCTTTGTGAGACTGCATATTGCAAATGCATAGTTACACCAAGTACTCTCTAGGTCTGAGCCCGCGGTAGAGCGCACAGAGTTGGCGGGAAGTAACGTTGGCGTTTCGTTTTGTGAGAAACAATCAGTTTTGTATAAGCGATTTTATATTAAATATATGTTCATATTCAGTTTAACAATGGTAGCAGAGGAGTAAGTGATTCACAATGGCAAGTAAATTTACACCACCGCCGGTTTTTGATGAAAAAAAGAGTTGGATTGACTACAAAAAGGAGATTA